CTAGGATTATCCTGCAACTGGTACAAGTTCTAGTTTAGGATCATGTATTAATTTCAGTAGTCAAGTCTTTATTCCCTTTGAGTATGACACAGGTAGTTCTTCAGCCTTTTTTTTTTTTTCAGGATGGTTCTTTTTTTTTTTTTAAGATTTTTATTTATTCATTCATGAGAGATTCAGAGAAGCAGAGAAGCAGAGACATAGGCAGAGGGAGAAGCAGGCTCCCCACAGGGAGCCGGATGCAGGACTCTGTCCAAGTACGCTGGGATCATGCCCTGAGCCAAAGGCAGATGCTCAACCCCTGAGCCACCCAGGCACCCCATGCTGGTTATTTCATAGAATGTTCCTAGTATAGGTTTGGTTGGTGTTTTCTCAACAAGGATTAGATTCAAGTGCTATGTCCTTCTCATGGTATCACATTAGGAGGCACATGATCACTGATGGAAGTATTGCCTAGTTTCTCCACTGTATAGTTACTATTTTTCCCTCCCAACAAATACACAATGTGTGAGGAGATACTCTGAAAACATAAACATATGCTGCTTCTCATCAAGTTTCCCCCTGGCTTTTGAATCCATTGGTGATGTTTACCTAAACCAATTGCTTCTGATGGTAGCAAAGTGGCAATTTCCCAACTCCACAATCTTTCTGTATTTATCATGACATTCTCTTTTAAGAACATCTTTCCTCTTTCTCCACTTCTCTCTGATTAGTATAGACTCATGAATTTATATTTTATTCTATGGATCATAATTCATTATTGTTCTTATTTTGATACTTGAGTTATCCAGATTTGGCCAAGGAGAGGCTCTTTAAGCCAAGTCTTGTTGACATGCCCTTATTTTATTTTCTGAGCATTCCTTATTTCTGGGTTCCTTATTTTTTTTTCTTCTTCTTTTTTCTTAAAGATTTTATTTATTAATTCATGAGAAGTACAGAGAGAGAGGCAGAGACACAGGCAGAGGGAGAAGCAGGCTTCCTGCGGGGAGCCTGATGCAGGACTCAATTTTGGGACTCCGGAATCATGCCCTGAACCAAAGGCAGATGCTCAACTGATGAGTCACCCAGGTATCCCTGGATTCCTTATTTCTTAGACTTCCTGCCCTTGACCCCAAATCAGCTGTTTTGTTAAGAACCCCTGGTTTTTTTTCATGGGCACAGGTATTTAGAAATCAAGATCTGGGCTGGGAACCTTCAATTTTGAAGTTAGATTTTATTTTATTTTATTTTATTTTATTTTATTTTATTTTATTTTATTTTTTTGAAGTTAGTTTCAATAAAAAAATCAAAAGGACTACATATTGATTTTTACAAATCATCACATTTATGGCTGATTTAGATATTTCCTTTTTTCCCTTTGTGGTAAGAAAAAAAACTTTAGCTTGTTTTTTTGGATTTTTCTTATTTACTTGAATTTAATTAATTCTGTCTATAGCTATTAGCAAAGAACACATACTGCGACAGTAACTATGGATCATAAGTCTCCAGATAGCTTTTGGAATATAATGTATCATCAAAGTAAATTTGTGATGGAAGACTGCATAGGTTTTGAAACACTATAACATAATCTGTGGAACCCTGAAGATAAGTGTAATGAAACATGGGACGTCTCATTGAATTCATTTTAAAGAAATTGAATCCAAACTGTATAAAATAACACTTTCTGCAGTCAGATGCTTGTTGCAAAGATGTTTTGCTTTTTAATAGTGGTGAGATATGTTGAAAACTGCTGTGGTAACATGTCATATTATTATTTTTATATGATAAAGGCAAATGAACTATAAAATGCTTGAAATAAGTACACCAATTTCTATTTTAACTGAATGAAATTGAATATGTATTCTGTCTCTTGATAACACAGATCTTTCAACAATACATACTATTGAAATATTGAAGATGAGATAAAAGTTATCATGTTTTAGGTGTTAAGGTACCAGGAACAAAGGTCAAATTCATTTGCTTGTTGCAGGTATTTCTCATTGTATGGGAATCACCTGGGTCACTTTTTAAAAATTGAAATTCCTGAGCCCCACCCTGTTCTACTTAAACTGTGTATCTCATGATCCAAGAATCTATATTTTAAAAATCTCCCAAGATAATTCTGAGACTTTGATCATTAAACTGATTTGGGAATTATTGGATATGACAAAATATATATTTATTCCAGGATGTAAGTCTCATTATACAAACAAGCTGCCCAAGGGCAGGAACTGTGCTTATAAATTTTTATAAGCCCAGCACCTATTATGAGCCTTGCATATAATGGGCATTTGATATATGCTTAGAACAAGAATTTTGACTTCAAATTTTATTGGAATCTTAATATCTAGTTTGTGCAAGGAATACAAACTCACGTGAGGGATATTCTATATTTATGCGAGAGGAACTACTTTGCGCAGCAGTCTGAAAGAGTATTGAATTGGTGGTCTGATTGTTAATGCAGAAGTAATTGTTTTCAGTTATTACCCTGAATTCTAACTTACTCTATGCTTTTGAAAAATTAAGAATGTTCACATTTATGATTGATCTAGTCTATAAATTTTCTGTCTTGTTCCTCTTTCTACTACATGTTTTATTTATTGCCAATGACTAGACAAAAAGAAAATAGTAGTTGATATGTCTATGGTATAAAACAGCAGCTCTCAAAGCGTGGTCCAAGGAGTCCTGAGGTTCCTGAAACTCTTTCTGGTGATCCATAAAGTCAAGACTTTTTCCCTAGTAATAAGCTGTTATTTGTCTTTATCACTCTCATTCTCTGAGTGTACAGTGGAGTCTTCCAGAGGCTACACGATATGTATATCAAAACAGATTAATGAAGGGACACTTCGGTGGCTCAGTGGTTCAGCATCTGCTTTTGGCTCAGGTTATGATCCTGGGGTCCTGGCTTGGAGTCCTGCATCAGGCTATGCCTCTGTCTCTGCCTGTCTCTGTCTCTCAAGAATAAGCAAATAAAATCTTAAAAAAAAAAAAAAGAAACAGATTAATGAAGAAAAGATACAAAAATTAGTTGTCTTCTATAACTTGGACATTAAAAAAATTTGCAAGAATATAAAATCATACTGCTCTTCTGTTTTTTTGAAAATATAGTTATCCAAAAAATGTTATTTATATCAGCATATAATGGGCTTGTTATTTTTTAATGCCCATTAATTCTAATTCCTAATATGTTAAGTTTTAATTTCTAACATGTTAAGTATTTATAGGTATAGTACACATAACCAAAAGTTGCTTGGAATCTTCAATAATTATTAGGAAAGTAAAGGGGTCTAAAAAGACCAACAAGCTGGAGAGCCAGTGATTTATGTTTTTGCACATTATTTAGTTTTATATGGACAAATATTGCCTAAAATTAGATCAAATTACACCAACTCTTATTAATGGATTTTTGTTCAACATTTATGTAATGGTGATTAAACTTCCTTTTTTCCTAGCTCTGAGAAACGGTTGACTTAGCTTCTACTTAAGGTTCTATGGGACCCCCAAGTTGTTCCATTGTAATCTATAACAGAACTTGAAATGTCCATTATGAAAGTTCATTGACATGCTGCCTGAGAAGGATACCATGATGAGTGCCTGCTAAGAAATGGGGAAGGATTTCTTGATCAGAGTTTTCACTTCACAGTGAATAGACTCTCAATGCATGGGAAGGTTATTTTGATAGTTGAGAAGCATCTTAACCACTGTGGCAGGTAGAGCTGGGGACAGCAGAATGCTGCTTCAGAGTCCAGACCTTGGTGTGCTCAGATGAGGACTTAGTTCCCTTAGCAGAACTGACCGCATTACCACTTCTCCACCTGCCATTGAATACAAACTTATCCATCTCACCCGGTAGTTGTAAATAAACATTGGGTTGTCTGTAAAGTGCTAGCACAGTGTCAGGATCACAATGATTTTTCTTTTTCTTTTCTTTTCTTTTTTTTTAAGATTTCATTTATTTATTCATGAGACACACACACACACACACACACACACACACACAGAGAGGCAGAGATACAGGCAGAGGGAGAAGCAGGCTCCATGCAAGGAGCCCGACGTGGGACTCGATCCCAGGACTCCAGGATCACACCCTGGGCTGAAGGCAGGCGCTAAGCTATTGAGCCACCCAGGGATCCCCACAATGATTTTTCTTAGGTTAGTGGGGAAAGGGTATCATCTGAAAAGAAAGGGAGAAAATAGTTGCTCCGCTTACTTCACAATTGAACCCGGTGATTTGACCCCAGTTCGACGCCTTTTGTTTCCATGGTTGTGGCCTTTTTTTTTTCACAGCTCTGCCAGGGAAACCCTTGAAGAGGAATTTTTTATTTGAAAAATCCTCTGGTACCATAATCAAAGCATTTGTATTCTATTTTCATAGCAGGAGAGACGATCCTTTTCCATCCCCAAATAAGACAGCAACATCTTCGGAGAAAAACACATTCTTAGCAGCTTAGCGGCTAAACTCTCCCACGGTGTTACTACTAAAGAGAACAGCTGAAAACCCCACAGAGTAGAGGAAGTGGTGAGGTTCCTAAATTCAAAGAAGCTTCAAGGTCACAGATGGGGACATTTTACTAGAAGTCTAAACCTAAACACAGTTCGAAAGGAACAATTCTCAAGCTACTGCGGTCCAGTTTTCCTTTCACTGTCTCCCTGGTGCTTAGTCAACACGTAAATGAGTACCAGCGACGTGGCAGCAGGCACAAAAAATCCAATTTAACGGACACTTGGTGGGTACGCTCGGTGTGTGCTGGGAACTGGGTGCTAGAGGGAAAGGCAGAGTTTCTGCGAGCCCTCGCGCTTTCCCGCCTTAACACCGAGGAGGCGGGGCCCGAGGCGGGGGCGGGGCCTTAAGCCTAGGGGGCGGGGCCTGAGGCCGGGGCGTGGGCCGAGGCCGGGGCGGGGCCCGGGCCCGGGGGCGGGGCCCGAGGCCGGGGGCGGGGCCCGAGGCCGGGGGCGGGGCGGATTCTCCGAGCCCCGCCCCCCACGTATCTCGCCACTATCCCAACAGTCGCAGCGACTAGGAGAGTCACGTGAGAGTGGGCGGTGGAGGTGGAGGTTTCTCTCCGCCGGTGTTTCGTCTCTATGGTCGGTAGAGGTGGGCGGCTTTGACCCCAGAGCGTCGGCAGCCCCGGTGCGAACAGGTGAGTCCTGGACTCTGAAGGGTGTGAAGGGACGGCCATTTAGGGAAGTCGAGAGGAAAGTCAGGGCAAAACCGCTTGAGGGATCCGACCTTCCGGGCCGGCCGTTTGTGGGCTCTGGGATGCGGCGACTTCGGGTCTGGCGGCAGAGCTGTCTTCGCTCACGCTCTCGGCTCAGGGGCCTGCGAGGAGCCCGCAGTGGCGTCTGCTTCCCGTGCCCCGCTTCCCTTCCCCTAACCGCGTCCCTTTTCGCTGTCCCGGGAGATCTCCGTCCCAGGACCGAGTTCGCAGCCGCCGGGGTCACTCGGGCGCCGGCGTTCTCTCTCCCCGGCGGCAGGCGGGCTTGACCGGTCCCGCTGGTAATGTGGACGCGGATGGAAGTGGGTGATGGAGTTTGCACTCAGGTCTCTTGTTGGTGGGAATAGTAAGCATTTAAAAAAAAAAAAAAAAGTAGAGGGTCAGCGGGGACCCGAAGGAGCAGAACCAAGCGCCGCCGGCTGGGACTGCTAAGTCTTGATGTTTTCGGGCGCCTTCCGGCTCTGGCCCTCCCGCGCCCCACGCCGGCCCCCCGAGGGCGTTACTGCCCCTGTGCCTGTTGAGAGGAGAGTCCAAAACAGGCTGTTCCTTAACCTGCTGTCCCTGCAGTCTTAGGCTTTCTTTTCCTTTCAATCGCCGGAAAACTATTGTAGGTCTTTTTAAATGTAAACAGAATAACCAATCTGTGGCTAAGGGAATACAGTAAAATACTCCCCTCGCGGTACCCGGAAAAGACCCGTTGTCTTGGTTACTTCTATCAGTGTTTTTATTTCAGTGTTTTGGGTGGTTTGGATACACCTTTATGTTGAAGCATCCCTCGGGTCATGTGTGCTAGCGACCTAGCGGAAGAAAGGGTTTTTTTTTTTTTTTTGCAGACAAAGTTGGGGTTGACAGACGTGGGAGAGTTAAGGTTTAGAATTAAGTTAATCCATCTGACTAGTTAATAAAACGTCCACATCTTGAGGCAGAGGTGTTGTCCAGGATGACCTACATGCTGTCTTTCTGGTGTTGGACAAGTTAATGAGCTTGTTGAGTATCATCTTATCTTAAAAAACTTTTTAGAACCTGCCATTAGTTCGTGAGAGGATGGCTCTGGCCTCCAGCTGTTCTATATCGTCGCTCTTGATAGGTGATTATTTCTTCCACTTTAGGAACATCACTCTGACTCTGAAAGATAAGAGAACAGGGTTGCTGGAAGGAGGTGGGTGGGGGATGGGCTAGTTAGGGATGGGTATTAGGGAGGGCACTTGTTATGAAGAGCGCTGGGTGTTGTATGTAAGTGATGAATCACGGAGTTCTACTCCTGAAACCAGTATTGCAGTGTATGTGAACTAGAGTTTAAATAAAAGTTTGAAGAAAAAAATAAAGAACATAACCCTGGCCATCAATTATGCCAAGAAAGTGTCAATGAAGCCTTCCAAGTGTCTTTACTGAGGATTATAAAACAGAGTAATACTAACAGAAAGTGACGATTCAGGAGTGGGTTCTGTGCTTGGGAAGAAAGGGAAAGAATGATAGAAGCTAACAAAAGCAACAGAACAAAAGCGTGTATTGCTCTCTTCCTTTATAATTACTGTATTCAGTAGACTTTATACATTCCCAGAGACCGATTTTCCTATATTTAAGAATAAACAATGGTATATGACTTCTCCCATAATGCAATATTACGTACAATATAACTGAAAGATATAACTGACCCTTCAGGTCTTATATTATTTAGGATTATAGGACTAAATGTTATTAAACCTAATTTGGTCACTTTTTTTTTTTTTTTTTAAGTAGGCTCCCCATCCAGCATGGAGCCCAACTCGGAGCTTGAACTCACCACCCTGAGATCAAGACCTGAGCTGAGACCTGAGTCAGAAGCTTAATCTACTGAGCCACCCAGGCACCCCCTAATTTGGTCACTTTTAATCTTTAGTTTTAGTGAGTGATTTTTTTTTTTTTTTAAGATTGTGTTTACTCAGACACACAAAGAGAGGCAGAGACCTAGGCAGAGGGAGAAGCAGGTTTCCTGTGGAGAGCCTGACGCAGGACTCCATCCTGGGACAACAGGATCACACCCTGAACCAAAGGCAGATGCTCAGCCACGGAGCCACCCAGGTGTCCCTAGTGAGTGATTTTTTTTTTTTAAAAGATTTTATTCATGAGAGACAGAGAGGCAGAGACACAACACAGGCAGAGGGAGAAGCAGGCTCCATGCAGGGAGCCCGATGCGGGACTCTATCCTGGGACTCCAGGATCACGCCCTTGGGCCGAAGGGAAGTGCCAAACCACTGAGCCACCCAGGGATCCCCGTGAGTGATTTTTTATAGTGGCTGTAACACTTGCTGGATGTTAACCAATTTTTTCCATATAGAGTTGTCTAATATACTACTTTTAAAAAGAGAACCAATTTTTATTAAGAGAACCTATTTTTTTTAAAAAAGTTTTACTCACCCCCCTCAAAAAAAATAAAACAAAACAAAAATAACTTGGTTTTTTGCCAAGTGGAAAAGCTGATTCCTTTAAAATAGATTTTCTAGGGATCCCTGGGTGGCGCAGCGGTTTGGCGCCTGCCTTTGGCCCAGGGCGCGATCCTGGAGACCCGGGATCGAATCCCACATCGGGCTCCCGGTGCATGGGGCCTGCTTCTCCCTCTGCCTGTGTCTCTGCCTCTCTCTCTCTTTCTCTCTGTGACTATCATAAATAAATATTAAAAAAAATAGATTTCTATATACTTTGTAAATTATGAGAAAATTATTAATACTTTTAAGATGTTAAATATTGGTATCTGAGCATATTTGAGAAGAAAACACAGGGGCAGTATTTTTAAATGTTTTATATTTCTCATAAAAGTGTATGTTTTTGAAAAATGGAAACATGGAAAATAAAACATTGAAAGTTGAAATCCTAATTTATCTTTTCCCATGCTAGTAGGTAACCACTAGTTTCCGTTGCTATTTGGGAATCAGTGTGGAAAAGTAGAGCCTGAAGTAAAACTCTCTGGGAAAGATTGTACTAATAGCACCAGACTTACATCCTACAGCCTTAGAAACTCCAAAAGAAAGAGAACTTCCCTTTATAACTCCAACAAACTACTGTATGGGAATTTTATTAACCTGACTTATGTCATTGCTCATCCTGGAGGCAGTGTCTGTGGCCAGAGTGATGGGAATGCTTTGTGTAGTCAGGATTGGATTTTGTTGTCACCATGGAGTGGGATTTGGGAGGCATACAGTTTTAAACCACGTGAATTCAGAGTAAGCAACATTGGGGTGCCTGGCTGGCTCAGTTGGTAGAGCATCCCCCTCTTGTGGTTGTGAGTTTGAGCCCCATGTTGGGTGCAGAGTTTATTTAAAAAAAAAAAAAAAGGCAACAAAAGTATGGCTCCTCTGGAAAAATTGAGGTGTCATTTTCTGGAGGGGAGAGAAGGGTTTCTGGACAGGCAAAAACAACATAGTTCACTGAAGTAATTTTACATACACACACACACACATTTTTTTTTTTTAATTTAGAGAACTTGCTTTCCTTTCCCAGTGTAAGTTAATTGTATTTTACAGTTTCAGTGTTATTTTTTTAAAATGTCTACTTTATTAACTAATGGAATTTGAAATTTAAACTCTTCAAGTAGCATATATTTGTACCTGTGTTGTTATATGATTAGTACCTGTGCTCTGGAGTATTCAGCTTTTCTAACTTTTTTTTTTTTTCAGCTTTTCTAACTTTAAATATATTGTGTATTTATCCCATTTGTTAAAATCATTTATTGATAAGTATTTTTATTACTGTGAGTAAACTTAACAAATTGCAGTTTATAAATAGTAACAATAATGTTGAGTGTTTAAGTATATGTAATCTATATGGTTGAAAGCTTGCTTCTTTTAATATGTGTTTAAAAATCTGTTAGTATAGAACTACTTCATTTTGAGCATTGAAAAATAAATCACTACAATTGTCACAAATTGTTGTCACTGGGTATTAACTTTAAAACTATAGTCAATGTTAAGGTCTGCTTTTGTATCTTTATGGATTATATTATATTTTAAGAGAAAATATAATTGAAGTAACTCCACTGTCTTGATTTTGTTTAAAAGAAATGTTAGCAGTTCAATGGACGTTTGAGCTTAATCGCTAATACTGGTGTCACAGACTTTACGAGATTTATATTCTGAAACCCAACTCTGTCATGTCTTGATATTGAGCAAACTAATCTCTCTGAATTTGAGTTTATTCCATTTGCAAAATAGAAATAATAATACTCATGGGGGTCTTGTGAGGAGTAACTTAATGTATGCCAAGTACCTTGGGTATAGTAGATTCTCATTAAATGTAATTGTTAATAATGACAATAACAAGAAATATTGTTTACAAAGATTTTTATATCCTCAATTTCAGAATGTTTAGCCCCAGTAGTTTAAATGTATATACAGGTGCTAAGGAATAAGATTGTTCTTTCTTCAGTTTTGTCTTTATTTTAGCAGGGGTGTGTGTGTGTGTGTGTGTGTGTGTCTGTAGTGTCTTAAGTAGGCTCCACGCTTAGTGTGGGGCTTGAACTCAGAACCCTGAAATCCAACACCTGAGCTGAGATCAAGAGTCAGACCCTCAATCAACTGAGCCACAATTTTAGCAGATTTTTAATTCCGTGTTGCACATATAGCAATAAACTAGAAAACTTTGTGTAAACTACATAATTATTGGTGGACTGCCCAAGTATTTAAAGATTGCCTAATCTTGGTATGTAACTGTTAGCCTGAAGGAATGTATTGAGAGAATTTTGCACAAACTCTGAGCTTAGCAAAGTTTAATATTAAGTAGAAGATCTCACATTCCTTGACTATACCAGGAGAGCTAGGTGTTGAGCATCTTGAGTGTTCAGATCAGAATTTATGGTGACTTGTGGTAGTTGGCAGAAATAATAAAAATGGATTTGTTTTTATTTTTAAGAATGAGCTCAGGATGATACTCCTGTGAAGCAATGCTGTAAGAACATGTTATGTTGGACACCTGCAGGTAGAAGAGATGACAGTTTAGAATGTTACGTGAAAAACCAAAAAAGGCAACATGGAATTGAGTAACTGTAAGAAGTGATTGACATGAAATATAATTTATGACCTGGCATTGGGAAGTTAAATATTGCCATATTGAGAGAAGAGGTGTTTTAGGCCTATTTATGAGAAAATAAATACCTAGAAATGGATTAATCTTTTTTCCCTTAAACTAATCAGTTTTGCAAACTGTAAACATATCCTAGGCTAACTAATAAGTTCAAGGTGAGTTTTACCGACTATGAGAAAATTGAAACTTTAGTGTAATCTTGGAGAAGTGTATTTCCATAATTCATCTCAGGTATACAAATGTTTATGTTTCTATTCAACGTGATTTAATGTTGTTCATTTAAAACTTAAAGTGCCTATCCTAATACCTTGCTTATTCAGAGTTGGACAGTTACTTGGTATCTATTATAAACACTACTTATAATCTTGTTTTTTCTTTTTAAAGTTTGTTCATGGAGTAATGGAACTAAATCTGCAGGCTGTTTTTTTTCCTTTAAAAAAATAAATATTGGTACTTCATTTACTCTCCTATTAGGATTAAGTGAGCATTCTATAACATAACACAGCATTAGAATTCAGCTTTTTTTTTTTTTTTTAAGATTTTATTTATTTATTCATGAGAGACAGAGAGAGGCAGAGACATAGGCAGAGAGAGAATCAGGCTCCTCACAGGGAGCCTGATGCGGGACTCGATCCCCAGACTGGAATCATGTCCTGAGTCAAAGGCAATGCACAACTGCTGAGCCACTCAGGTGTCCCAGAATTCAGCTTTAACACAGATCTTTCTTGGCTTATAATAATGGTGATATGTTCCAATAAAGCCATTGTAAGTCGAAAATACCACAAGTGAAAAATGCATTTAATACACCTAACCTATTGAACGTCATAGCTTAACCTAGCCTACCTTAAACATGCTCAGAACACAGACTTTAGATTTTATTATTTTTTTAATTTATGAGAGAGAGAGAGAGAGAGAGAGAGAGAGAGAGACATAGGCAAAGGGAGAAGCAGACTCCTTGCGGGGAGCCCAATGCAGGACTTGATCCCAAGACCCCAGGATCACACCCTGAGCCGGAGGCAGACGCTCAACCACTGGGCCACCCAGATGTCCCTTAGAACACTTACTTTAGCCTACAGTGGGCAAAATCATCTAACACAAAGCCTGCTTTATAATAAAGTGTTGAATATCTTAGGTAACTTAATACTGAAAGAAAACAAAATGGTTGTGTGTTGGTGGTTAATCCTCTTGATCACATCTGGGACCCGTGGCTTGCTGCTGCTGCTGCCCAGCTTAGGAAAAACTATTGTACCATGTGTCATTAGCCTAGGAAAAGGTCAAAATTAAAAAATTAGAAGTACAATTTCTACTGAATGCATATTACTTTCACACCATCGTAATGTTGAGACATCCTAAGTCACCATCTGTATATCTTTCTAGTTGAGCTCTTATGACTCTACCTTTCCTTCCTATGCCTTCCCCTATGTTCTAGTCATAGTAAACTACTTTTTGATCCCCCTAACAAAAGCCATACTTTTGTTGTTGTTGTTGTTGTGTTGTTGTGTTCGGAATGCCTCACCATTATCCTGCCATCTTTTAACTGGTGAGCTGCTGTTCATCTTTGAATGAGATTGCATTGTTTTTTCAGTTTGCAAGAGTTTACCCTCAAGTGGTTATTTTTTTTTTTTGGTGGTTCCCATAATAATAATTTTTACCTTTTGAAAATACTCTTATTTTGTGGAACAGTTGTATGTATTTTCTATGAGATGGAGTGATTCTTGATGCCAGAAACAAGTCTATTCATCATAATATCCTGAACATGCAACAGAGTGCCTGTAGTCTCTACAAGCTCAGAGCATATTTGGTGAATATATGAGTAAGATAGTTCATCTGCTTTAAAAATCAGAATGGGGCATGTGGGTGGCTCAGTGATTGAACGTCTGCTTTTGATTTGCCTCAGGTTGAGATCCCAGGGTCCTGGGATTGAGTCTCGCATCAGGCCCTACAGGGAGCCTGCTTCTCCCTCTGCCTGTGTCTCTGCCTCTCTCTCTGTGTCTCTCATCAATAAATAAAATCTC